CTCTCTCTCTCTCTCTCTCTCTCCTTCTCTTTCTCTCTCTCTCTCCTCCCTCCTCCCTCCCTCCCTCCCTCCCTCCCTCCCTCTCTCTCTTCTCTCTCTCTCTCTCTCTCTCTTCTCTCTCTCTCTATCTCATATCTATCTAATCTATGTCTGTTTGTCTGTCTGTCTGGTCTCTTAGGCCCACTCAGATGCATCAATTTTGAATTTGATTCGGATCGTCATCTGGATCCAGGAATTTTCTGTTGCAAGTGACACTATTGCTGCGAGAATATACACATCTCTGGGTGCTTCAAGCATTATTGTTATTATTATCATTATTAATTATCTTCACCATGATTTTATTATCTTTAATTATTATTATTATTATCATTATTATTATTATTATTATGATTATATATTATTATCATTATATTATATTATCATATTATATTAATATATTATTGTATGTATGATTGTTTTTGTTTTTATTATTATTTTTATCTTATTTTATCATTCATTATTATTATTATTATAATTATTATTAATTATTATCATATATTATATATCATTATTAAATTATTATTATTATATAAGTATAATTATTATTATTATTATTATGTTATTATTATATATATCTCAATTAAATTATTATTATCATCATTACATTCATATATTATTATCATTATTATCAATTATTATCTATATATTATTCATTACTGTTGTATTACTATTATATTATTGTTTTTATTATCAATAATTATTACCTTTATCATATTATTAGTTGATTTTATTTTTGATTATCATTATAAATAATATCATTCATTAATTATTAATATTATCAGAATTATTATTATCATTCATCATTAAGATCATTATCATTTTATCATTCATAATCCTAATGCTATTGATGATTAGTAAACAACAATTATAAAAGATAATGATGATAATGAGTATTGTTATTGCCATATATTATTATTATAAAATTTTATTAGTAATAGTAGTAGTATTATTAAATTACTTATCTTAAATATATTTATCATTATTGCTATTTAAATATTAGTTAGAGTAGTAAATAGTAGTAAAGGTAATAGCAGTAAAAGTAAATAGTAGTAATAGTAGCAGCAGCATGATAGATAATAAGAATAATGATGATTATTATCATTACATAAGTATAAATGATATTTTAATGATTAAATAGATGATAATAACAATATGATTCATATTCATTCAGAATTATTATCATTATTATGATTAATATTATTATTGTTATTACTTATATTACTCATTATTATTACTATTATATTATTATTATTATTATTATTATTATTATTATTTATTATCATATGTATGCTGTTGTTATGTTGTTGTTGTTGTTGTTTATCTATCATTACTATAATATTTTATTTCATCACTTATTATTATCATCGTTGATATTTTTCATTATCACTATTTGTTGTTACATTATCATTATAGTAATTTTTATTAGTTATCATTTTATCATTATTATACATTGTTATTATTTTCTATTAATTTTTTATCATCATCAACATTGTATCATTATTATTATTCATTATTATTATTATCATTATCATTATTATCATTATTATTACTATCATTACTACTACTATTTTATATTATCATTATTATCATTATTATTATTTTATTATTATTATTATTATTATCATATTATTGTCAATTATTATATCATTATTATTATCATTGTTCTATATTATTATCCTTATCATCATATTATCATTATTATCATTATCTTATCTTATTATTACATCATTATCATTGGATATACTATTATCTTGATATTATTTGTTATTCTGATAATAATTATCATTAAATCATTATCATTATCATTATCATGATTATTATTTCATCATTGTCATATCATTTCATTATTACTCTATACATGATGATTTCTTATCATTAATTTATCATCATTTTTGTATTAGTAGTATTATCATTATCATTATCATTATTAATCTATTATTATTGTTATCCCTGTTATTATTATCATCTAATTATCATTCATTATCATTACATATTATTATCATTTATCACTTTATTTGGTGTTGCGTTGTCATCATTATTTTACTATTAACATTTTGTTGTTATATTGATTTTTATTTTTATATTATTATTGTTATTTTCTTATTATTATTATCATTTTCAATTATTATTATCATTATCATTATTATCATTATTGTAATTAATCATTATTATTATTACTGTTATTATTATTATTATTAGTATTTCATTATCATTATTATATATCTAATTATCATTATCATCATCATTATTCATATTATTACTGTTATCATTATTATCAGCAACAACGTCACTGCTACCATTATCTTTATTATTGCCATTATTACTCCTTTTATAATCAATATAATTGTAACTGTCATTATAATCACTTAGAATCCCTAGTACTGTTGTTACGAATATTATAATTGTCATCACTATTGTGATTATATTACAATTGATATCATTATAATCAGAACGAATATCA